CCATGACCTGCCCTATAAATAAATGTCGCTGAGCTACTGAGTTATAAATATATCATTTTAAAGAGGATTAGGAATCCAGCCGGGCTCAGTGGCTCACGCTTGTAATCTCGGCGCTTTGGCAGGCTGAGGGAGCCGGATCACTTGAGGTCAGGAGTTTGCGACCAGCTTGGCCAACATGGTAAAACCCCATCTCTATCTCTACTAAAAATACAAAAATTAGCTGGGCATGGTGGTGAGCACCTGCAATCCCAGCTACTTGGGAGGGTAAGGCACAAAAAATCACCTGAACCTGGAAGGTGAAGGTTGCAGTGAGCCAAGATTGTGCCACTGCACTCCAGCCTAGGGGACAGAGTGAGACCCTGTCTCATAAATAAATAAACAAAATAAAGAGGATTAAGAATCCAGAGAGAGAAATGATAGCTTGAAGTGAGTAACAACAGAAAGGGTTTAAGGAGGGCAGGGTTAGGAATTGAGCAGGGGATTTGGAGAGAGAGCCCTAGGAATTGCAGGCAGTCAGCCATAAGCCTAGCTCCAGGGGCAAAGAAATGCTTAAAAGCGACAAACCAATGTCTTCTGAGCCCTAATCAGGCTGGACCTGAAGCCCCACTGTGAATCATCTCCATCCAAGTGTTCTTGTGACCCAGTAGGACTCCTCTTGCTGACGCCTAAACTCTCGTGTTGCCCATTCCCTCAGGACCAGTCTCGGCAGTGGGACCACCTAAATTGCACCGTGTATCTTGCTTCTTGCCTTTATTCATTGATTTGTCCCGCTGGTCAATCATTTTACTTCTAAGCTTTAGAGCAAGCTTGTCCAGTCGGAGGCCTGCGAGCTGCATGTAGCCCAGGAGGACTTTGAATGTAGACCAACACAATTTCATAAACTTTCTGAAAACATTATAAAATTTTCTTGCATGAATTTTTTTTTTAAGTTTATTAGGTATCATTAGTGTATTTTATATGTGGCCCAAGAAATATCTTTCAATGTGGCTCAGGGAAGACAAAATATTAGACACTCCTGCCTTAGACGAAATGAGTACATTTTGGTAACATGAGAGGTGAACAAACCTGGAATTTAGCTTTGAATATTCTGCATTTAACATGTGGACATTTGAGGACCTCATAGCCTGCTTACAAATTAGGTTCTAGGGCTGTCCCTGTCACTAACAGCTTCACCTGTAAGCTGAGAGGGTGACTGAGTGGGCAAATGACACCTCTCTCAGCCTTGGTTTTCTGTCCTATAAAATGGGGAAAATGGTAAGTACCTTAGCGTGTTAATAAAAATCAAAGGATTTTTGGTTTGTGGCTGGGTGCTGTGGCTCATGCCTATAATCCCAACACTTTAGGAGGCTGAGGCTGGCAGATTGCTTGAGCTCACAAGTTTGAGACCAGCCTGGGCAACATGGCAAAACCCTGTCTCTACAAACAAAACAAAACAAAACAAAAATTAGCTGAGCATAGTGGTGTGAGGCTGAGGCAGGAGGATGGCTTGAGCCCAGGAGGCGGAAGTTGCGGTGAGCCAAGATTGTGTCACTGCACTCCAGCCTAGGTGATAGAGCCAGACTGTATCAAAAACAACTCTAAGGTAAATGTTATCTCTACCCTGGAGGTAATCTGAGGTCTTTTCCAGCTGTTCTTGACCAGGATAGCACACAAGCATATGAAGTATCATCGGATTGGTACTGCCATTTACTGAATGTCTGTTACCTGCCCAACACTGTGCAAGGCGCTTTATCAGTTATCCAATACTCCAACCTTATTAAGCTGGAGTATTAAATATATGTCAAATATAAGTATGCATTATTTCCTACATACTTATTGCTAATACCTTTTACTAATGAGTAAACCGAGGCCCTGACAGGGTTAAATCTCTTGCCCAAGTTTACGGCAGTCAGTGGGTTTGAACTCTTATCTGACTCATGTCTGTCTGACTCCAAAGTCCATGTTTGCTACACTCTGTTATTCATTAATGTTGTAATAAAACTAACTTAATGTAATGCAGGAAAGGGATGCTTGCAGACAATTAAAATGTTAAGAAACTAGATTAATAATTTAAAATGATTGCTTTACATATTCACTGTGGCATGTTTAAATGGTCATATGGCCAGAAATATACATCATTCTCTTAAAACACTGAAACTTGGCACTGAACTAGTTTAGTCTGTCTTACCAAAGATGTGTAGTTATACTAAGAATCTTAGATCAGAACATGATTTTATTTAATATGAAGAAAATATAGGCTGGGTATGATGGCTCATGCCTGTATTCTCAGCATTTTGGGAGGCCAAGGCCGAAGAATCACTTGAGGTCAGGAATTCAAGACCAGCCTTGGCAACAAAGTGAGATCCCCATCTCTACAAAAAGATTAAAAAATCAGCCATGTATGGTAGTGCATGCCTGTGGTTCCAACTATCTGGGAGGCTAAGGCAGGAGGAGCTCAGGAGGTCAAAGGTGCGGTAAGCTGTGTTCATGCCACTGCACTCTAGCCTGGGGGACAGAGCAGGACCCCGGTTCCCAAAAATAAAAACATTGGCTGAGTGTGGTGGTGTATACATTTAGTCCCAGCTACTTGGGAGGCTGCGGTGGGAAGATCCCTTGAGCGCTAAGTTTGAAGTGTAGTGAGCTTTGATTATACCACTGCACTCTAGCCTGAGCAACAGAACAAGACTCTGTCTCTACCAAATAAATAAATAAATAATTTCACTTCCTACCTGCCTTCTGGTTCCTTCTATTTTTTGCGATTACTTTTAATGGCAAAAATCACAATTACTTTTGTACCAACATATACCACCATATCCACTCTTCTCTCACCATCTCCCATACCCACCATGGACAGAAAGTGAGAACTGGGCACTAATTCTAATTTTCTAGATATGCATTTTACTCAGAGGACTAATTTAAAACCAACAAAAGAAAACCAAAAACCTTCTTAGCCTATCAGGATAGCCATATCCTGATAGGCTAAGAAACTAGTTTGTTTACGTCATTTTTTTCAGCACTGTACTTCATGCCAAACTTGTTCATATCAAGGAGTAGGCTTCAAATACGCCAAATACTTTTTATCAAAGAAACACTGCTAGTTTTTCTTGCGTGCATGTGTGCACATGTAGTTCATTTTCTTCTTTATCTGATGCCAAGATTTTAATATATAATTGGAAGTCCTAAGCTAAGTACTTTGGTTTACAGTTAATTTGGTCTGAAATAGCTGGAAGTGGATGTACACAGCTTTGAAGGAGCTCATACAGAAGTCATTGAAGGTGAGCACACATACATCATCCTATTATAAGAGGTTTATGGTGCCTGTAAAAGAGCCCCAAAAAGTTTCAGTGTGGGTCTATATTTATTTTATTTATTTATTTATTTTTGAGACGGAGTCTTTCTCCATCACCTAGGCTGGAGTACAGTGGTGCGATCTCAGCTCACTGCAACGTCCACCACTTGGGTTCAAGTGATTCTCCTGTCTTAGCCTCCCAAGTAGCTAGGATTACAGGCGCCCACCACCAGGCCCACCTAATTTTTGTATCTTTAGTAGACAAGGGGTTTCACCATGTTGGCAAGGCTGGTCTCGAACTCCTGACCTCAGGTATTCCACCCGCCTCGGCCTCTCAAAGTGCTGGGATTACAGGCTTGAGCCTCCACGCCCAGCTGGGTCTTTATTTATTTATTGAGATGGAGTTTCCCTCCTGTTGCCCAGGCTGGGGTGTACTGGCATGATCTTGGCTCACTGCAAACTCTGCCTCCTAGGTTCAAGAGATTCTCCTGCCTCAGCCTCCTGAGTAGACAGGATTACAGGCATGCGCCACCATACCAGCTGATTTTGTATTTTTTTTTTTTTTTTTTTTTATTAAAAATGGGGTTTCTCCATGTTGGTCAGGCTGGTCTCAAACTCCCAACCTCAGGTGATCCACCTGTCTTGGCCTCCCAAACTGCTGGGATTATAGGTGTGAGCCACCACACCAGGCTATATTTATTTTTAAAGAAAGAATTACTTCAGTTGAAAATGTGTCATAAATTGCCGCTGTGCTACACAGTTACCATTATGTTGCTCTTGTTTTATTGACTAGTGAGGCTTATACCTGCTTTAGGCATTCATGAATGACAGTCAACAACTGAGCTGAAGGTCATGGGGCACAAGGCTGTAATTCTTTCTATGGTAATGACAGTAACATAAGTCTGATACACAAGCAGTATGTATTCAACACACTGATACTTGATAGCCTGTCAGGAAAAGAGAACAGGCAATGAATGCAGTTTAAGGAAGGGAAAACTGAGAAGTCATAACTACTCAAGTTGTGGAGGAATTCACAAAAGACATGGACCTGCTTCTGCTATAAAAGGAAAATGAAGCATTTCCCTAGGGTTGCTATACCAACTGTTTCAGCCCATTGTAGGCTTGCCTCTTTCAGGGCTTTAACCACTATTTCATTTCATGGAAAAGCAGACATCTCCTAACAGAAAGAGTGACATTTACCAAAAAAAAAAAAAAAAAAAAAAAAAAAAAAAAAAAAAAAAAAAAAAAAAAAAAAAAAAAAAAAAAAAAAAAGAGGCCTTAACAGTGAGAAGCTTAATAAAGAAAAATATTTATCCATGCTTTGCACAATTTTTTTTTTGAGACAGAGTCTCATTCTGTCACCCAGGCTGTACTGCAGTGGCATGATCTTGGCTCACTGCAACCTCCACCTCCCGGGTTCAAGCAATTCTCCTGCCTCAGCCTCCTGAGCAGCTAGGACTACAGCGCCCACCACCATGTCCGGTTAATTTTTCTATTTTTAGTAGAGACGGGGTTTCACCATATTGGTCAGAATGGACTCAAACTCCTGACCTTGTGATCCACCTGCCTCAGCCTCCCAAAGCGCTGGGATTACAGGCATGAGCCACTGCACCCTGCCCACTTTGTACAATTTTCAAACGCCACTATTTCTATTCAATTTTGGGGGCTTATTACAGTGCTGGGTGCAAAGTTTATGCGATAAAAGCTTACTGAATGAATGAATCACAGGATAAATGATACAACTGGTAATTTCTTGAGATTATAAATTCCATTACAGTGACCCTGATAGGCAATTCTATAAAGTTTTGGGCTACAAGAAGAGGTCAGTGCATGTCATAAATGTGTTTGATCTGCTGTAAAGTATATTCACACTCTCCAAAATGTAATGCTTAAATGGGATAAAATTGGTTGGTTACCACCCCCAAATTAGCATATGCCAGCCTGCACAAAGGTAAATATCAAAAACAACTGCTCAATTTGAATTAATCAAAGATTCCTTCTAGGAATCTTTAAAAAAAAAAAAAAGGTGTGAGGAACACCTCAAGCACTTATGTTCAGATGAATCAACTAATATAAATTAAAAATGGAACAAACTAATAATTGAACATGAGCAGCATAACAAAACAGAATTTTCACTCTTTCTACTTTGAATGAAAGTGGTTTGCTCATGTTTGTTGAAATCAGAACTGAAACAATGACATGTATAAAAAGAATAGATAAAAGCGGTTCTTCCGATAGAGTCCAGGCAGTCATTAAAGTTCCATTCCCTGCTCTCAGCTGATCAGGGCACGAAAACTCAATGAAGCAGTCAGGCAGACTCAAATCATCTCAGCGGGAAGCACTCTCTATTTAAACATACTCATCTGGCCCACCCTCATTTCAAATTCAGGTACAAATGGCCTCCCTGAGGCTTTAGGACTTGTTTTCTTCTTTTTCTTCTGACACTGTTTCCCAGATTGGCTCCTTGATGTGTTCTGGTAACTGTACTATTTGTGTCTAAAAAAAGAAAGAAACCAAACTATAATATAATGTGGATTTAAAAGAACTCTTTGGCTACAAATTGGTTTTATTAATTTGTCAAATCCTTGTTACTTCCTTTTCTTTTATCACCCTAGTCTTTCTGTAGGGTTTTGAAATGGAAAGAAGGAAACCTGATGGTCTATAAAACACTCTCACATATGTAATCTATTTGATCCTCAGTGATCTCCACGGATTGCCACTTAATGGGATCCCCGAGTCTACAGAACTACTACTGAAGAGGGAGAACTTCAGAGGTGGTCCATAGAGGACTTGGGCTGAAATGGCAGGATTCTGTTGGAAGGGGTGGGAGCCCCCAACCACTGTGGCAACTCTGTCTTCTACTTTGCCACAGGTTAGGGCAAACTCTACTCAGTGGGCCAGGACCAGGTTGCAATGTATCAAAACAACAATACAGATACCATTTCTCCCCTTCCCCCCAAAAGAGGTAGAAATTCAAGCCATACCTTTGTTACTTCCATGGCAACTCCTTCAGGTAAGTTTCGCTGAATATATTCTAAGTAGACATCTGCTGTGCTTCCAGTTAGATGTTCTAACTATCAAACATGAAAATGGTTCATGATATGTTGTTTGTTAAAGCATACTTTTTTTTTTTTTTTTTTTTTTTTTTNAAAAAAAAAAAAGAGAGAGAGAGAGAAATGATTGAAATCATAAGGCATAAATTCAACAACTGCTCTTAAGTTTTCTTTTCTTTTTCTTTTTTAAGACAGAGTCTCTCTCTGTCCCCCAGGCCAGAGTGCAGTGGCTCAATCTCAGCTCACAGCAACCTCCGCCTCCTGGGTTCAAGAGATTCTCCTGCCTCAGCCTCCTGAGTATCTGGGACTACAGGCGCCCACCACCACACTTGGCTAATTTTTGTATTTTAAGTAGAGACGGGGTTTCACAATGTTGGCTAGGATGATCCTGAACTCCTGACCTTGTGATCCACCCACCTCGGCCTCGCCAAGTGCTGGGATTACCGGCGTGAGCCACTGCACCCGGCCCTTTCTTTCTTTTTTTTTTTTTTTTGAGATGGAGTCTCACTCTGTCACCCAGGCTGGAGTGTGCATGATCTCAGCTCATTGCAACCTCTGCTTTCTAGGTTCTAGCCATTCTCCTACCTTGGTCTCTCAAGTAGCTGGGACCACAGGCATGTGCCACCACACCCAGATAATTTTTTTTGTATTTTTAGTAGAGACGGGGTTTTACCATGTTGGCCAGGCTGGCCTTGAACTTCTGACCTCAAGTGATCTGCCTACCTGTAATCCCAAAGTGCTGGGATTACAGGTGTGAGCCATTGCGCCTGGCATCCCCTAAAGAATCTTATAAAATCCCAATTAAAAAAAAGTATGGATCCTTCGGTTGACCGCATGGAGGGGAAGATGGGCCAGAAACCCTCTTCCTCCAAAATGCAGCTGCCTTAAAACTTGGGCTCCATGGAACACAGTTGGCAAGCATAGTATGAAAGCTGTATACTTAAAAAAGGCTCACAAAACAACTGAAGACAAAAGGACGAGATTATAAGATACAGTTAGTAGAAGATTTTCTGTGTGTACCATGATGAGACATGTTTCCCTCAGACACAGGTGGATAAAATTTGAGTTTTTCTTTTTAAGAGTAGGGACTGGCCATGCTCAAACCTGTAATCCCAGCACTTTGGGAGGCCGAGGTGGGTGGATCATAAGGTCAGGAGTTTAAGACCAACCTGGCCAAGATAGTGAGGCTACTAAAAATACAAAAATTAACTGGGAGTGGTGGTGGGGGCCCATAGTCCCAGCTACTTGGGAGGCTTAAGCAGAGAAATGCTTCAACCCAGGGAGTGGAGGTTGCAGTGAGCCGAGATCGTGCCACTGCACTCCAGCCTGGGTGACAGGGGGAGACTCCATCTCAAAAAAAGAAAAAGATGCGTAAGTGCTTGTTTTAATAGTATTTACCCATTACTTACTATGTGATGAAAGTATTCTGACTGCTTACATAAATTTTCCATTCTAATCCTCACACTAACATTATGAGATGGGTACCATTATTATTCTCATTTTATAGATGAAGAAATTGAGGTACATGTCACATGACTAGTAAGTGCCAGGACTTGGATTCCGGCATTGGCAGTCTGACTCCAGAACCCATGCTCTCCTTAAGCATAAGGCTGTTCTGGCACTAATGGAAGCACGAATGACTAACAGATGAATGAAAACCTAATGCTGTGCATCACTGACATGGAAAATCCAGCTGCTGTGTGAAAAGAGTTATTAGAGCTGTGTAAAAACTTAACTAGAATTTTTGAAATACAAGCAAAATTATTCCAATGCTATCTGTGCATAATCTGCATTCCTGAGTTAAGGTACGCACTACTCTACAGGATGGCTTTATTTGAACTTACTTTTCCTACCATGACACTTCCATAAACACTAAGAGATATTTATCTTCTGAACAACCAACAGGCATGGGAAAAATAAGTCAAATCTAGTCAATGTTAAAGCAAAGTTATATGCTAGTGTGAATTTTTGGTATGTCAAAAATGCCAGAATTTCTTAAAGAAACTCACCTCTAAACATCTGTAAAGTGTTCTCATTTCATACTGAACTCTGTGCTTCTTGTAAATATGCACCGATTTGAGAAGGGTAAATCGCTCTATTTTCCTTGGAGGTTCGTGTCTGAAATTAGTGGACAAAACAAAACCTGAGTCACTATGATAACAAAGCATGATTCCATAATTTTGTAGGTCAGACTCACACTCAATTATAGGCATTAACTACCATTTACAGACTTCCATTTGCCAAAACTGTCATCTGGAACAACACTGCTATCATAAAACTCAGGCCAAAATAAACACTGCAGACAGCAACAGAAATCTTTTCCCACAGGTTTCTGAGGGAACTGAGCCCTGGCATGTCAAGGGTGCATGCATACGCACAAACCTGCCGCTTTTACACCTTTTGGTCTTTTACTGATCAAGTACCTGAATTGTGAAGAGTAGCACCAGTGTGGTGGACATAGTTGTAACACCTGCTATATGTCTGTTGTTTTAGGAAAATCTACAGATACATCGAAATCACAAAACTCTAGTCTGTTTTGGGAAACTGTGGCTTTCTGTTTTTGTTAGAAGGCCAGACTGCCAAAGCCCCAGATGGGCCTTGTTCAAAAGCAGAAGGAGCAGATGACAAGACAAAGGAGACAGCTCTGCTTGACCCTGCAGTGACTCCAAGGCTGTATGAAACTTACCTTGCTCATGCAAGAAATTACTGAGTGAGTGGTGTTTCTTAGGGAAGATTTGAAACAACGGATATATTAGCCAAAAATTATCACATCCAAAGGGTCTAAAATGATGGTTCATTCACCTACTCTACCTCCCTGCTCCATGGAGATCCCAGAAACATGGCCTTCTTGAGTCTCTTTACGTCAAGGCAATTTCTAGAAAAAGGATTTCTTTCATCGTCCTTGTTTACTCATTCTAGTATTTAAAAACTCCAATGGGGGGGCTGGGTGTGGTGGCTCACGCCTATAATCCCAGCACTTTGGGAGGCCGAGGTGGGCAGATCACAAGGTCAAGAGATCAAGACCATCCTTGCTAACATAGTGAAACTCCATCTCTACTAAAATACAAAATTTAGCTGGGCGTGTTGGTGAGTGCCTGTAGTCCCAGCTACTCAGGAGGCTGAGGCAGGAGAATTGCTTGAACCCAGAAGTTGGAGGTTGCAGTGAGCCAAGATCACACCACTGCACTCCAGCCTGGCGCCTGGCAAAAAAAAAAAAAAAAAAAAAAAAAAAAAAAAAACCTCCAGTGGGCAGGAAGGCATGATTCTGATTAGGAGGATAACATATGACAAACTTACCTCTACCCACCATGAGTTTCTATCTCACTTTAAGAGTTCAGACTGGGCCGGGCACGGTGGCTCATGCCAATAACCCCAGCACTTTGGGAGGCCAAGGCAGGTGAACTGCCTGAGCTCAGGAGTTTGAGACCAGCCTGGGCAACACAGTGAAACCCCGTCTCTACTAAAATACAAAAAAAATTAGCCGGGTGTGGCCGTGTGCACCTGTAGTCCCAGCTATTTGGGAGGCTGAGGCAGGAGAACTGCTTGAACCCAGGAGGTAGAGGTTGCAGTGAGCTGAGATCACACCACTGCACTTCAGCCTGGGCAACAGAGCGAGACTCTGTCTCCCAAAAAAAAAAAGAAAAGGTCTAGAGATCTCTGGTGAAAAGACAAAAAAAAAGTTCTGACCTTCCTGGGATGAGCACTATTTTCTTGGCTGATCATATTACAGCAGCTAACAGGTCAGATCAGGAAAGGCCATACTCACACTTTAATAGAGATACCAAGTTCTTTAGCAGCAAGCACAGCAAAATATTCATAGCTGTCCAATACAGCCTTATCGTGTCCTTTCACTAAAACCGACAGGCGCTTATATAATGTGTCTGGTTCATCGGAGATCGTTATCTAAAATCCAAAAGAAAAGTTTCAGTTTTAGTTCCTCTTACATAACTAGCAAATTTAACACATTACCCTCAATTGAACAACTTCAGAGTTTACCAATAAATGAGGAGAAAAACACTGAGTGACATTTCAGCACTGTTAGCTTAAGTGTCTAGATACTTTCATGTTCAGATCTGGACAATGAGTCTCAAAATCTGTTAAATACAGTGTGAATCAAAAGAGTTTTCAAGGCAACCTATAAAATTATGAAAGGAACTTTCCAACTTAATAATGATTTAGCCTCAAATTCACCATGAGAAAGGACTTCAGGGTCTGCTAACAAAAAGAGCCTGGTCAGAAGACTTGGACTGAGAACTAAACTCTGCTAATGACAGCTGAAGGTCAATGGGCAACTCACATCATCTCATGGCATTTTAGTTTCCTCACATGTGAAAGAAGGTAAACCTATGCTACAGTTCACAGTTATCTCTCTAAGAAAAAAATAAGAAAACACAGATTAAAGTGCTTATTAATTATAAAACCTTAGTATTCAAAGGCAAGCTAGTTCTATTCATACTATTTTTTAATTAGATTTTATACATGTATGTTTTGCCTGCCCTAATAAACAAATTACTCATTTCTGATTAAAATGATATGACACTGACTGTACCTGTAAATTCTACCTCTTCCACCCTAATACCTAAAGACCTTAGAAATAATGGGTTTGACATTTCTGACTTTCTTCCAAGAGGTGAATTACCTTCATTTCATTCATCCATTAAACCAGTAAATTATACTACTAATCCAATGATTCAGAGTTAAATTACTTCACTCCTGAAAGGAGATTTACTTACTGGCCAGAAAGCTAGATATCTACCCTCAATTACTCCAAACAAGTTTGTTGGAAGAACAGAATATACTCATAGCCAGTGCCATAAGTTGACGGATGAGAAGGGGGAATATAGCCCCAAGATGTGTTCTGACTGCTCACTACAGGGCGTTAAAAGATACTCTGAATTTGTTAGGAATATTAAAAATCAGGAGATTTCACAAAATCTGGATTTCTGTTTAGCTTGAAAAATTTAGACAAGCTGGCATCACTAGGTTGGATTTCCCACAAGGCAGTAAGTGGCTAAATAAGTAGCTGCTGTCTTGCTTATAAAGACAGTGGTACACCATGCCAATTCTGCCACCTTTTCGGTTTTTTTTTTTACCTTTTTTTTTTTTTTTAACTTTTTCTGCCACCTTTTTTTATAGGCCTGGCTCCTGCAGGCATCTGAGTTGGAGACACGCTTAAATGTACTGTCATAGAAATCTATCCAGTACTGGCCAGGAGTGCTAGCTCATGTCTATAATCCCAGCACTTTGGAAGGTTGAGGCAGGCAGATCACTTGAGGCCAGGAGTTTGAGACTAGTCTGGCCAATATGGCAAAACCCCATTTTTACTAAAAATACAAAAATTAGCCAGGCATGGTGGCATCTGCCTGTAATCCCAGCTAGTTGGGAGGCTGAGGCATGAGAACTGCTTAAACCCAGGAGGTGGAGGTTGCAGTGAGCCAAGATCATGCCACTGCACTCCAGTCTGGGTGATAGAGCAAGACTCAGTCTCACACACACACACACACACACACACACACACACACACAAACATCTGTATCTATATCTATATCTCCAGTATCTATTAAGAGAAAAGACAGAAAAGAAAGGGCAGTAAACTAGACATGTGCACAAAGTGAGTACCTACAGGCAAATGTCTAGAACCGTAATCCCAAACTATTAAAGGGGGTTATTTTTGAAGGGTAGAAATGGAAGGATTTAAAAAAAATTACAAGTAACACAAAAAACCGGATTGATGGAATCATCGCCTCTACAAGGTTACCAAGCTGCTTCTAGATGTTTACCATTTGTGCTAATTCGTTTTCTCCCTGTGAACAACAAAGCACTATCCAGGCCCAAGCTCAATATACAAAATAAAAACAAAGACTTGAAGGCCACAAGAAAAATATTATTCCGTAACATAACATCAAGTATTCTACATCACAAATTCTGACAACTCTTCAATTACGCCAAGCTAAAAGCAATAGACTGCTAATTAGCACAGTTATTTGGGTGTAATTTATTCCTTTAGAACTTACTTTGATACCTTGAAGATAATATGACCCAGGGAGTTAGAGAATATATGCATTATGCATTTGCCAGCATTCTAGGACAAAATTATTTTATTCATAGAGTGGGGAAAAAAAACCCCAGAGAAATAATAAGGAAAACCTATTGCTAATGTAGTTCCTTGTATCAAGAAATAGGAAGTACGTACCACAGGTTTGGTCAAATCCTTTGGAACATCAACATGTAGATTTGAAAACTGTACCCACTTCATACTGGTACTGCTATGTGTGGGAAAAAAAACAGAGAAACCTAAGTAAAATAGCACAAGGACCTATTTTGTTCAATTGAGCGCATCCAATCGTATACTTACAGAAGAAAGCCACCATTTTTGGTGGTACTACCCTTAGAACTGTTTACAGAAAAATTCTCCAATCCCTAAAGAAAAAAAAAGTAGGACATGTGTCAGAATTAAAGTCGACTACCAAATCATTCATAGCTTCCATTAAAAACTAAAGGTTGCCTCATTATTTCAGATGAAGATACTGAGGTAACTAAAATGGCCAAATTAGATTTTATTTAAAAAAAAAAAAAAAA